CTACATTCAGCAGCCAGGAGATAGGTCTGCATCTGTTCACTATTATTATAAATCTTAGAGACTTTGCAATGTCAGCAGATTTTGTTGCCTTATCATTTGCTCCACCTTCCAGCATAAAACCTTTGACTGGGAACACCTTTGAAATGCTTGATTTTTTCCTGTATTTGTCATTTTTTAGCAAGTTATTAATACAGATGGTCTTCCTTTTTACTCCACAACAGCTTAGCTGGTTTAAGAGCAGACTCATGAAAAACAGTTGGGTGACCAAGGACATTGTATCAGCTAAATCATTCTTGTTAGTGTGTTTATTTATTTTATTATGTTTTCTATCCATCTCCCCAGTACAGAAGTCAGACATGCTGAAGCACAATTCTCCAGCTTTGTGCCACAACCTTTCTGAAAACTTTCTTTGATATAGAGGCTGACGTAAGCACTCAGTGGCACAGTCAGCAACTCAGAATCTTAACCTCTGAGTTTCTTTTAAACTCTTGAATCTGTTATTGGCTATTTCTTGTAATTCAAATTTACAGCTTTATTCTAAACCAAACAATTATTCCACTTCTGGCATTTAGTCAGACTAAAAAATATCTTCCTTTTCACAGCATTTTCTGCATTACTGTTGTTGGGATGAAAGGGTCAAAAGCAAAAGATATGGTGAGGAGGCAGTAGGTTTAACTCAAGAGACTTTTGCAGCTGGCAATGTGAGGCCTGGGAAAGATCAGTGGGGGATATCCCATTTCTTACACCTACTGATGTTTATCCTCTGCCTGTTTTGAGAAGTAGGATTCCCGTGTAGAGATAACACCTTCTCACAGATATGCCTGAGGGCCCTGCTGGAAGGGAGGGAGACCATAAAGCCCAGGGGAGAGCACAGCCTTGAGGTAACGTACACGTGCCAGACCTGTTGTGATGCAGAGGCAAGGAACAGCCCCCATGATGCTCTTTTGCCCACTGCATGATTTTGCAGTAGTGTATTTAGGGTTTCCAACTTTATTTTCCTTAATACCTTAGCCATGCTTTGGTCATCTGGGTTTACCTGCATGCATATCACTTTTAACACTGTTATTTTAATGACACCCCAGTAGAAATGTAGTGCACTAGCCCAATGCTGTCACAGTCTATGGCCATCAGCAAAGTAAGTTGTATGGCACTCTTCCAGGATATACTGGCTGAGTTCAGTTTTGAAGAAAGAATGTAAGAATTTCCAGAAGAAATGGGGTTTAAAGAACAATTTGTTTGAAAAATAAGAACATTTGCAAGCACAGTGTCTGGACGCCAATCTGTTCTTTCAGGGAGAAAATATTTAGCTTAGTTTCAAAATGTCTTTTCCTGATGTGATCATATTTGTTCCCTGCTCTTAAGGTATTGTCAATGAAACATGAAAAACCCCAGTAAACAAAATATAGGTATTTTTTACCTGACCTGAGAGATATGTGGTTTTTTTGGTTTGTTTGTTTGTTTGTTTTTTACTTCATTTACTGAATAAATATAAATCTGGTATTAGTTCAGTAAGAAAATAAAAACATGGTAGTTGGGTAGCAATAGGGGGCAAAATACAAATACTGCCCAACTAGAAAAGCTCGAAAAGCAAAAGACATTTTTGTTCTTCATGGCAAAGTCTTTAAATCTATTACAGGGCTGCTGATGTCTAACTTTGATATGCAAACCAGAATATCTAAAAATAAAACATTTGTAAAATTCAGAATATTACTTTATGAAATATTTTATCTGCATTTTAATGCATGAGAAAAGGGTGAAAAAGTCATTCTTGCTTACACGTATCACCTTGTTTGTTCCTACTGAGTTTTTTCTATTTCTCCCAGGTCATTCCCTCCGTTTGCAGATATGGAAGCTGAGAAACAGGGCTTGGTTTGGTCAAACTAAAAAGCAAAGAAGGGAGCAGAAGAACTCAGGTTTCTTCACTTTTAATCAGAAATCTAAAGCTGTGCCTGGTGTACTTTGGCTGCTAAGTACCATTCTGGTTCTTATGGAAATAGTGAATGCTAGAGACAGACTTGAGGCTATTTAAAATGTATTTCAAACTTTTATAACTCCCCTTCCTTAAGGTGGGATACACCTCTCAGGTGCACCATGAACTTTATAAAGAAAACAGTTGGGTAAGCCACGAGGTGAAATTGCTCAGGAAAACTACAACCAGAAGTCGAACTGAGATGGTATAATCTGTGACTGGTGGTATAGAACCTGACTGTTTTATCAGTAACATGAGTTAGCTGGCACCCTGAGAGGTGCACACCTAGGTAAGGTACCTAAAATGCAGCACAGTGCATAACAACTCCTAGGTCATCTTTATGTGACAATGACTTAACAATTTACAACAAAGGTCTTTCAAATAGAGTCCTTGAAGGCCTAAAGGGTCATTTTTCTGCAAACAAAGGAAACAGCTTTAGTTGTACCTAAACAGCATATCAGTGTATTATTCTAGGTATGTGCAGAGATACACTGAGATGACCAGTATTGAGTCTGATTTAACCCATTTACTAGCACTTATCCTGGGTGAATGGATATTTTAGCATCCAGTTTTGCCCTTTGTGGTAGTATATTTGTTATGCACTATTGAATTTCAGCAGAATATTTTAATCATCTTTTTAACAATATATAATTATTGTTGACAGCAAACCAACAAGAAGAAACACTTCTAGATTAATTAACAGTGACCTATAATTAAAAATTGCAGTACTTAGAGATGGAGTGGTCCCTAGATAACATTGCTCTACTTTTAATGAGTGTTTATCATTCTGGTTTGCTTCCCCTGTGGCAGTTATCAAGGTTAGTTACAAAATTTCTTAATTAAATGGAAAAACATAGAAGACACTGTCTTAACAGAAAACAGTTTGAAATATTCACGACTTAAGCATAATCTTAAAGTACGCAGACTCCTTCCTTAGAAATTTTTAATCACAGTTTACCTCTTTTCATTAAGTCATACCTAGACACTAAACTACAGTGCTGTATTCTAGGATTATTCCTGTTCCTTTTTCTCTGAAGACAGAAATATGTGTTATTAAATGTTTATCTTCTCCAACATGTGAATGGCTCAAAAAAATGTGTTTTCAAATTAAGCTTTGATATAGGATTTGTGATTCCTGGTCCAAGCTTCAGTAACCAGTTTCTACAGTAATTACGTAAATCTCTTTATTGCACATTTTCAAAATGCAGTCTGACGCTTAAATTAGATTCCTAATGGAATTAAAGGATCACATTCCTACCAAATTCCATATGGAGTTTGGTACCCAGAGTGCTCTGAGGAAATAATCTGACTTTCACCAATTCTGCATTTTCAGATGTCACCAGAAACAGAAAATTCCACCACACTGAGAAAAATTCTCTACAATTCCTATTGTTTCAGATTGAAAGCTGAACTAAAAAAATAACATATAAGAGGGAGCTTCATCTTTAAACTATAACATGCTTATAAATTCTTGCTAAAGCTCAACTGGTTCATACAAGTACTATTTCTATGATTACACTATGATTATTATATGTAAAATATGTAAAGACAAATATTGGTAGAGGTAAAGAATGATCCTTATATAATATGAAATTTTTCTTCAGTAGAAATCCTGATCATCTTCACTTTGCATTGTGCTGCTGGCAAAATATTCTTTATTTGTTTTCTTAGAACAAAAAACAATGTGCATGAAAGGTTATATATAAAGCATTAAAAGAAGCACCAGAAAAATAAAAAAAAAAAAGTGAAAATAAAAAAAAAGATCTTGCTTGGTCCCAGCCAAGTCTCTTTACTAGCTGGTCTGAGTAGTTAAAATCAGGCAATCTTGGGAAGGGAGGGAGGTTACCATTGTTTAAATCCTAGGTAAAAATAGAATACTGATTGGGTTCAAATGAAGGTTGTTCTTAGAGTAACTTGCTCTTACAGATTCTTACTGCCAGTTCAGATACTTCTTATGTTAAAGCACAGTTGCACAAAAATCTCCAAGGGGTACAAAACATCAGAAATGACTACCTGGTAGCATTTTTAGTTGTGATGCAACAATAAAAAAGGTCTTGAAAAATAAAAGGATAAGTATGCCAAATACGTAACCAGAATAGTTATCTGGGAAACTGGAGGAGAGCTGTCTGAAAAGTGTATTTACTCACTACCAGTTCTTGGCCTGGTTAGAGCTATGTGCTTGAAAGAGCATTTCCCAGCACTTTCTGTTTTTCTCCCACCATGCAGCACTTTCCCTTCCCCACTCACAGTTTGGCATCAGAGTCTGCCAGCCCTGAACACTGCTGCAATTTACTGCTGAGTCATCACATCACTGTCACAGAACATCATCATCACTGCTCTTACAGGAATATTGCAACAGCAACCTTTTGGTATGAGAAAGGAGAGAGGATTCCAAGACATAGGCAGTGGAAGAGCAGAGCATAGTAGGTTCTTTCAGAAAAAGCTATCTTCTTCAAAGGAAGTTCCCTGGGTTTTGTGATCACTGGTTTGGAAACAGCAGAATTAGCACTCCCCATGCTTTCATCTCTGCTCACATGCTATACTTCCAGAGCGCCCAAAGGATCAATGTTCGAAGGCAATGGGAACTAGAAGAGACTTCCGTTGTTTATCATGGTGTTGCTGAAGTCTTCTGGGGTTGACAGATGCCACTGCAGAAGGTTAATAAGATGAAAAAAGCTCTTCCAGCTGGACCGTAAGAGGGATTATGTCTGAGCAGCAGATAAACAGATTATTCCAGAAACAGACACTGCTTTTTTTTAAAACTTCGTCACTCTTGTCTTACCACTCCAGTCCCCCAGGCTAGAAGTGTGTGTGTTGAAGGGGCTTGCCCAGCTCTTGCATTCTGGCACCTGTTGCACTCTGCCTAGTTGCAATTCAATGCAGTCCAAGGCTGGGGACACCTGAAAAATAATAAGAAAAAAGACGTTTGGGGATTTCAGTTTGTTAAGAAAACAGAATTCTTCTACTTGACTGAAATATTCTTATTTCCTGCATGATTGGTCTTGAAAACTGTGAATGATCAATAGACAGCATGCATTTGAAAACTGGATTAATATTTTTGATCATTTGCCTTGCTCTCCAAGTTCAGGGAAGCAGAGGTAAGTTCATGTATTAAAGGTTTAGATTAATTTTACATTGCATATGTTGAGAAACAAAATAATTTCAAGATCAGGAGTTTTCATATTACAGAATTTTGTGTTTGGAGTGTGGTGTTTTGACAATTCAACTAGAGACAGTACAGTTACTGACACACTGTTATAAAGCTGAAAAAAAGGAAATGTTGGCCTTAATTCTCATGTATGTTTCCTAGGCTTTACAATCTCAGTAAGAGATGCCATCTAGATTCATTTTAGCTGAATATGTTCTGTTATGACAAAATGTAATTTCAAAAACAACTATAATAAAGATAAAAAACAGTTGAAAGAACATCTAAGTGCTGACATTGTAAAAGATGGTCTTTCATCCCAGAAATAAAGAGAAAATAGTAAAGTCTATCTTTGCCTTGACTAGCCACTGTCAGAAAAAAAACTTCAAAAACTTTTAGATAGACAAATTCTGGAGGAATACACCATGCTGACAAATATGCAAAAACCAGCAATACTAGTAAGGATTACTGTAATAATAATTGTAAAATAATTTGCAAGAAAACAAATACAGATAACTCCTCTGTACTTAATTCAATAGCTAACGATGACTCATTTTAAAAATATTAAAAAGTTCACAGCAATTTTAAAGTTTCTTCAACAACAAAAAAGAAAAGATGGTCATGTGATTTTTCCTGATTACTTCTATATTCAGTACATTTAGAGCTTTGGTGATATGTTTAATTTTGGAGGAGGTTGCTTAATAACATTTACATCTATGCTTTGATATTTACATAATCGAATTAAAAGCCAGCATAACAACTGCTTTATATGCCCCCAAATCAATGATTTCTATTTTTATGTCAATCTCAGGCCTGTTAATTAAATGCAAAGAATGTAAAGTGATAAAAGAGAAGTATCCTTAATGTTCTCTAAATATTTGTTAAAGAGACAGTGTGAAATATAGTCTGCTGTCAATACTATTTGGAAAGTTTTATTTACACTTTTTGTCTTGCTTTTCTTTGCACAGATTTTCTGTAAGAAATACAGAACACAGTTCTTATATGTCACTTAAATGATGTAAATCTTCTCCAGTGGACAATTAAAGTACTGAAAAAATCCCTGGAGAAATGTACTGTATAAGTTAACCCTAGATTCATATTGTGCTGGTCTTTGATTTTACTTTTTAATACCACGTAAATAGTGTCATTTAATCATTAATGATACTTTAGAAATGTGGTCAAAAATGAGAGAATGAGTGGTATTTCATGTCTGACAAGAAGAAAAGTTCTATAAAAATGCACTGGGTTTGCATTTAAGTTGCATATTCTATGATGGAAAGAGATAGAATGAATTCCAGACAATTCATGCATGCTTGATGGCATCATTGTAGTCCATATTTATAATTATGAACTGAGAAAGCAATATTGTTAAAAGTGGGATCGTATAGTTTCACCCCATTGTAAAACACCAGCCAGATGCTGGGAGGCTATCTTGACAGAGAGGAATACAAAATTGTGTATCACCTCCCTAAGAGATGCAGTAGAAGACTTGCTACATAAAATGTTCATCAACACTCAGGAAACCATGACCAGTCATAAACTTTACTTAACATCTTGCTTATGTAGCAATGTTCAAATTTTCTCATTTTTGATGGCTTTCATGTGAATAATTAGAAAAATTCCTCCTCTTTATAAAGTATATATAGTATGCATAAACGTATAATAATTCCTTTTGATTGACATGTAGTCATGCTATGTATAATATTTTTTAACTATGTTATTTCAAATATATGCACACAGATCTCAAAAAACTTAATGGTTGTAGTAAGAAACTTCTTTTTCAGAGCAGAGATGCTTCCAGAACTGTTATTTTATGACTTAGCATTAGGGTCATATACTTAGAGAAAGTGTTTTTCAAAAGTACACAGGTTCTCCCAGTAGTCTGAACACTTCTATGAATCACTCAGTAGTGAACCTAACACAGATGTTTTGAGGCTTTTTTTGAGTCTATTCAAGTTTGCAGGATATGTAAACTGTGACAGGCTAGGAAATAAGAGACTACGATATAAAATATCCCCATCTTAAATGAAAAAACCATACAGACAATTTCTAAATATTTATAGAGTTGATCAGTTGATATCTTTTCCTCATTTAAAAAACAAAACAAACAAACAAAAAACAAACAAAACTATCTTAAATTCAAATTCTGCATTTACTCACACTTATATTTCATAAAAAGTCGGTTAACTTTTTAAAAGTGAGGCTTGCTTAGTAATGTCTTTTGGTTCTTCCTCCCATCCCTATTTAAGGACTAAAAGAGTGCTTCTTCCAGACATTGGAGGCTGTCCAGGAGCACCTCCAGTTCCACAGTAAACAAACAGGAAACTGTAGGAAGCAAAATAAACACTTTAGAGATACAGCGTTCAACTTTGGCCGTAATTTTCCCACTGTCCTGACACAAACTGTCTCTAGTAATGGGAAGGGAAAGTGAGGGGAATAAAATCTTTGTGACAGCACAAAATCTATGCACAAAAACTGAATAGTAAACCAATGAACACCCAGACTAAATACCAAAATCCAGAGAAGCTTTGAACACTCAAAACTATGCCTTGAGGCTGGATACAACTTGGCATTTGATACTGAGAATGTAAGGGAGCTAGAGCGCGTTCAAGGCTGTTTTGTGTTACTTTTTTATTCAGCAAGCAACTATTCGCTATTTACTCAGCCATTCCTTAGGACACAAAGGCTCTGTGTTCGCTCTATGAAATCATTTTAATTCATTCTGACTGACCCCTTCCCGCTAGGCTGTTCCAATTCAGCAACAAATGTTGCAGATCTTCATTACTATAATTGCCCAATAAAAAAAAGGGTTAAGTAAATTTGTTAAGCCAAAGGAAAAGGTAATTCAAAGAACATAAAGCTTCAAAGAAAGAAAGAAAAAGACATCTGCCTTTTGCCCTAATATTATCTTCTACCTTCATCCATAAAATAAGAATTATCAAGTTAAAGTTAGGTTTCTTGGTTGTGCTTATAAACAAATGAAAAGTAAACCTTTTTTTCCCCCCTTCCCAAGCAAACATAGCACTGCATTTTATATGGGTTTTAACGTACTAATTTTCTGGCTGAAAGCCAAACTTGAATACAAATACTAGAACATTGTCACTGAATCTTAAAGATTAATTCCAGAAATAGTCACACCTGTGACACAAGGATCAGTGAACTATATGTGAATGAACAGCTAGGTATGTGGGATTTTTTCTTTGAAAACACCTGTGGACAAGATCACTATTAATAGGATTTCTCCTTTTACAGGACATTAATTTACAGGCTGTAATAAAATAACCCGAAGTCTTAACCTCCTAGAAATCCAGATCATTTATCCTATTCTTTATTTCTCAGCTAACTGTGGAGTCCCTATGGCCTCAGCAGTGCACAAAGTGACATGGCCAACACCCATCAGAGGTAGTCAAACAGTGTCTTCTTTCCAGAGGAAGACAGTTCTTCTTTACAGAAGGAAAACTGTGTATGCATATGCATTCTACTACATGCATTTCAATGTTTTAAAATATTGTATATATGTTTTCCCCCTGCTTTTTTACCTCTGTCCAACCTAGTTCCCTTGGTATTAAAATTAGTTTTCTGATCATTTTCTATCACACAATTATTCTATTTTTATCAGGAATTAGGTGCACTATCCTGCACATTACATGCATTTTGTACTTTGTAAGCCCAGCTGTGCTTTAATTTCTTCCCCTTAGGAATGTGTGATGTTGAATAACACATGTTCTAAAAAGAAATATCTCTCTCTCTCTCTGCTTTTATATACATGTATGCTAGCATTTAGTCACTGTCAGCTGCTATTTACTGGACAGACACTTCAGAATAGTAACCTATCTGGAAAACATACGATTAACAATCATCTGGGAGTACCCTGCCACCTGCCACAGTGTAGGTGTGTTTTTATACCCTTACATAACAGCACACATTTTCACTGTATGCAAGCATACCAACCAGTCTGACAGAGTAACACTATCATACTCATTTCGCAAAAGCATGAGGGCCTGAGGTATAACTCAGAAATTGAAGTCCTGACTTGTAAGAAGCATTGCAGTCATAAAGCAGGACTGCAAAGAGTTTGCTGGGCTGATTCTCAGAGCAACTGCCTAGTCATACAGACATTTGCAAATTAGTAGGACCCAAACTCATAGCTACACTAATTGTACTTAGGCCACCATGCTTTTCTTTTCAGTGGTGAGGTTCTACTAGCTTTTAAACTTCTACTTTGGTGCAGAGTTGAAATTATCTTCTTACTGGCCACTCTGAATCTTTCAATACCTCTCTCAGATTTTACCCAATTGTATATTAACAATCTTAGTAAGTCAGTTACCTGAAATACCAGTTTTAGTGGCTATGTTCCAGGTATACCTTTCATACATATGAGTCAACACAGATCATAGAAATCCCAGGAGTTTCAGGTAGGAAACAGCAGCGCACTCATCTTTCATTTTGTGATTTCATGGTGACAGCACAAAACGAAGACGGTTCTAATTGAGTTCTTTTCCCTTTCCTCTTCTCCATCAAAACTAGACAAACAAGTTGCCATGCTTAGATCAAGAATTGGACTAGGTGTCCTCCAAACCAAACTTGGTCTGTGCAGCTTGATACATAACTAAGTTAAATAAGGTTAAGTCCAAGTCACTCCCTGTCAAAATGAGACAGAGTCAATTAGCCAGAGACTGTAGATTGTACTGCAGGATAAGTGACCCTAAACCGTGAGGAAAATCAAACTGTTCCAAATACACAAGCTGAAGCAAAGAGATGGCACTGGGGCTTCTGGCACCTGGAAGCATTCTCTTATGTCAACCATCCTAATTGTCATCATATTTGAATACAGGTATCTCAATAAGCTCATTCTGCACTAAGACTCTTTGCCATCTATGTCAATATTTCAATAGTTTTGATAGTGTGAGTCAAAGTATAACTGCAACTTGAACTTACACTGTGTCACTGGCT